CCTGTCTGCACCTCCTGCCGTCCCCTTACAGCGTGTTTCCATCGGAAAAGGAGCGGCAAATACACTTTCCGCCACCAGCCAGAACAAACAAACAAACAAAAAAATACTTTAACATCTCCAGCTTCTTCAGGTTTTGGCAAGGGCGCAGATGCAGCGCTGCCTGGAGTTAAGGCGGCATTAGGCTAAGGGAGAAAAAAAAATCACTAGTTGGGAAACTCCAGAGTGAAAGCATACAGTGTCCTTACATTGCACAGCGGAAGGGGGGTTAGTTAATTAAAACAGATGGCACATGGACTACATTGAACAACGAAATGCTGTCAGTTTGACAAACCCTAAATTTGACCTACTTGCCTATTTAGAAGACTAACATCAGGATAAGAATGTCCTTTTCCCGCTTAGAATTACCCTTCATATAAGTCCATCAAACAAACACGCATGAAATGTCTTCTTTGGGGTTTGGTCATTATTTACATCTGGGCTTCAGCGGCCTGGACATGAAATTTGAATGGGAAATTAGAAATCATGAAGACAGATGTGACGTTGTTCCATGTCTGGTGCTACAAAGAAGAACTTTCTAGACAACACATGTAAAGATGTGATTTCGCGTTTACTTTAAAACCACCCTCATAAAAATACAGAGTAATGTGCTTGAAATGCTTCCGATGATAATACCATTATGCAAATATGTGTATTCAAACTGAAACATGTCACTTTAACCGAGCGGGGCGGGGGGAGGGAGAATGGGTTGGTAAGGGCATGAGCTGTCAGCCTTCCAACTCTCTTTTGAGTAATGATTTGCAAGCATCTGAATAACTATATTATCCCTCCACCACCTCTACTATCCCCAAGTCTCCTGATGTTGCAGGCAGGCTTTAAAAGCTGTAGCTCTTAATAAGCCCTTATCAACATTACCACACTACCCACTGCTGACACAGGATGTGGTTGATTCGGGGCCAAATAAACTACCAGCCGGAACAAAGCCCCTTTGGCTCTGCTGCTGCCTTTGAAACAGTATGAAGAAATTTTGTCATGCCAGAGGTGTAGGTGCCAGCAGAGGTGGGTGTTCCTGGCGTGGCCAAACCTGGAGCATGCGTTTTGCTCCCACAGCCTTCAGATGGACCACAGTGCTGACCACTGTTACATCCAGGACCTGTGAGTGAGTCTTTGTTCAATCCCTTAATAGATCATTAAGGTATTACCTTGTTTGTGTGCCTGTTTGCTCTGGCTTTGGGGTACTTTAGAGCACGGCTTTAATTATCACCTCCTCCTCCTCCACCCCATTAAGATGTTACATGGATGACGACAAGGTTGATGACAAGGTCCTCAAAGGCCTCCAAAGGGCAAAACTGCCCCTTCTGCACTCACACTTTTTCACTAGCCTTTTGATCCATCCTCAGCCTAGGACAACTGCATTTGCAGTGCCAAAATCCGCATTAGCTTTAAGGTACTGGGAGGAAAAAAAACAAACAAACCCAACAGTTAGGAATCCCTGGTACATCAGAAAGGTAAGAGCACCAACCACTATCTGGAGACACTGCTGTTGTTAGCCTCTGCAGAAGGGGTTAGTAAGGGCAACAAGGGCATGGAAGTCAGACCTACCCTGCTGCTGTGTTTCCAGCTACATGTGTGCATCAATTGGACCCTTTCTGCTAACGAAGGACTTCTTTTACATCAAGTAATAACCTGGAAAGTGTCAAGATAGTTCAATGCATCCTTCATAATTCACTCCTGCCCCCTCAGCAGGCAGGGTCTGTCGGGGCGTTGCTGGCATGCCTTGCATTCCCAAAACAGCAGCGCAGGAGAGAAATGGGAGGGGGGCTGGAGGAGAGGGAGTTTGTCATCCTATTTTCCCTCCAACCTCAGGTTAGATGTGCTTGTTTAATTTAATCAATGGTACGCAGCAGTCTCCCACGCGCTCGTTTGCATTAACTATCGGTACTATTCAAAGAAGGATGCGGCACTGGTTTTCCACAAGCCATAAAAAAACCTGCACTGGGTTTACAGAACGATTGGGGTCCTACCGCACGAAGCAACACAGGCCTGCCCCAAAGTTCTTGGGACAGCCTGGCGACACCTTCCCCTGCCTTCAAGGAGTCACAGTCCTCAGACCAAAGCCTTCCAAGACATTTTTTTTAATGCTGGTTTTGCAGCCATGGCTCAATCGTGAGCCCGGAGACCTTGCTCGTCCCCACTCCTCTGCATTAGAGCAGAGCCAGTGCGGAGATACGCAGCATGAAGAGTGAGACTTGTTCCTGTGCTAATGGGACTGTCCTGGGGACTGAGTTACCAGAGAGAGACTTTTCTCCCTGTGCCATGGAAGTTAATTTTCTGCCAGGATGGACATGGTGGGCTTTTAGCCTGCATCACGCTCTCTGTAAATTGTCAGTGATATAGAATTTGCTTCTCTGCTTAGCCTCAAAAAGTCGAACCTTGAAGATCACTGTTTTCTCTGGGATTTTCTCAGTTGTGCAGTGTATCGTTCACTCAGCAGCATGGCAGGAATTTATGCTGCCTGAAAGAAACGTGCCTGTTTTGGCTCAGGAATACAGGCTCATCTTTGTCTTCTTGATGGCTGCCCTTCAATTGCATCACCCTGAACAGCCAGCAAGGGCCCACACACCTGGGGTGTTTCAAAATGAAAATGACGACTTGAGGATTTCTTGTCATAAAACAAAAATACCAAGCCGTAATCCTTTGATTCTGGTTGTTTATCTGCTCTGCAGAGATGTGCTACAGGCCCATAACCCTCATGGTTGGATGGGTTTCCTAATAGATCCCATAACCTGATCAGCTTGGACCGAACAAGTTTGAAGGTCACACGAGCCCCTGCTGTGCACAGAGCACTGAGCCAATAAAGACTGCGCTCATCAAACTGCCAGAATATTGGGACCACAATCAGCTTTGGGTAGGATTTGTAGCTCGCACACCTCAAAGTGTGGTAAGTTGGCTCAGGATATCTTTACTTTTTCACTTACTGCCGCGTGTGTAGTACTCTGCTCCACGCCTGGACACCTGAAAAGCAGCAGCTGCAGGGGATCCAAAGAGCAGCTATAGACAACGGTCCACACAGAGGACTCTGCTGTTTCCCTCCACACATTGTAAGCGCTTGCCAAGCAAATGAAATAACTAAAAGGAAAAAACTTCCCCAAAATACATAACATTCAAACCAAAATACCCTCCAGCTCTGAACTGGGAAAGAAATCATACCCATTAACAAATTGTTACCGTTTAGCAGAAATGAAAGG